CATATAAAATCCATAAAATGGAACATCTTAAATGGCCACGCTTAGTTCAATTTTGGCATACTCTTTCCAACATTTCGCTCACTATTCACAGTTATGTTCCGGTTCGAATATGTTTGACAGTGAAACAAAACACAAAACATGCGTGAGCTGTTTAAACCTATGTTGCCGATTTACATAAGTGTTATAATTACTCTGTTCCAGAACCTGCATAAATCTACTATTTTTGTATTTTGGGGCACTTTTTGATTTAGAGATTTGAAAAAAAAAAATCGGAGAGTGTTTTTTCTTGTCGAACGTCTTTCCTTAATGGATATGTCGAAATTAATTTCTCATAAATATATATTTTAGTCTAAAACTGTTCCTATTTAGAAATTAGTATTAAAACATATATGGCGCCCAACGGAAAAAGTGACCAAAATCAGCCTTGGCTACTTTTCCTCAAATTCTTAGTCATAAATAGGTGGGTAATTTCTCAATTTTACTTCAAATCTTTTTAAGGACACCCTAAGATGTTAAATTCGCATCAAATCTCAATAAAATTGATGTATACCCTATTCGGATGCAATGGAAAAATTTATATGTCAAATATTTTATTTTGAAATCAAGTCATTGATCGTAGCATTAGTTTGCCCATTGTTTACACCATTCGATCTTATTTCGAAAAGCATTCGCAAATGACATTTTCTTTTTTTTCAATATTTTATTACATTATTATTATTATTATTTCTATTGAAATTATTTTATTAATTACGCATTAATAATTGTATATTTTGCAAAAATTCAAAAAAAAAAAATTGGCACATTTTATTTTTGTTGTTTGGTGTTCGATGTCTTTTTTTAAGGTTTATTTGTTTACCAACTATTTCAAGGGCACAACAACTATTGTTATTATTACTCTTTAATTTTTTGGTAAACTAACAATATCAAGACACAAAAAAATATTTCTTAGTAATTATGACTAACACGTGACAATTATATTTGCTTGCAATAACAACAAATTTTGCAAAATTAAAAAAGTCATAATAAAAAAAAAAATTGGTATTTAAACTGGAAAAAAGTAAACGATCGTAGAAAGAAATAACACAATACAGTAGATGGTGGCTATATGCAATTCTCTTTGGAGTGATTTAAAATCCAAGCTTTGTAGCTAATATTTATAATGCATGGTAGGATTTGTTGCACATACCATTTGCCCACTGTGAAATTGTGAAATTTAATTGAAATAAAAATTACACGCTGCTTTTGTTGTACAACTAATAAAAAAACGACACAAATTAAAACGTGTATGGCATACAAAATACAACAACATGATGTTTGTTTGGAGGTTTGTAAGCAAAAAAAAAAGTGGAAAAAATACGCGTGGATGATTAACAAATTGTTGATTTGCCTCAATCCGAATCGATCAATTGTCCAAATCCACAAAAAAAGTGTCAAGTGGTTGAAGTAAAAGGTGTTGGTGGTCGTGTTATTGTTGGAAATTGGGCAATTTCCATTTCAAACTGGTTACAACAAACCCCCCAGTCCTCATTGCAGATACTTGTTTAATGTTTACATGGGCATTTTTGGGAAATTACCGGAAAGAAATGTAGCTGTTAGTCACTCGCTTGCAGGTAATGTGAGAGTGTGTGTGAGTTTGAAACTTTGTTTGTAATTTTGCACTATCTATGGTGCAGTTACTGCAATTGGCCAAAATTTCCATTATGAATAGAAAAACCAACAAACCAGCCAGCCAGCAAAGTCAAATGAATGCAATGAACCAACAGGCAACTGCAACAACAACAGCAACATCAAACAACAAATGCCTGCAATGAATTAAGTAGCACAAGCACTGCCACCACCACCCCCATCATCCAACGACATCAAAACAATTCAAATGGGTAAAATGTTAGCAGCCACCACCACCACACCGCCACCAACAACAACATCGTGCAATAATGCAAGCATAAATTGTAAACGATTTTACACTGTACACACAAACACACAGACATACACTCACTATGCCGACAACACACGAGCCTTGACCTGATTTCTCTTCCTCTCTCGCGGCCAATTGTTTGTTATTTTAAATGTATGCACATCCATACACACACACACATGACATGGATACTAGTTGTTGCTGGGTTTTGGTGGGGGGATCGTATTTGGTCGTTAGTGGTCGCAGTGACAGGGAGGCTCGTTACCAGCCAGCCAGCCAGCCAATTTTGTGTACATTAAACCCACACAAACAAACACACACATGCACTATCTTGTTGCAATCATACTAGCATCCGTTGCAATGCAGCAACACAACGAGACTTCCTTTAATACTTGCAAAATAGGGTTATTGGGCGGTGGAGAGGGAGAGCAGATAGGGATTTCTGTTTGCCATAATGGCAAAAAGAGAGTAAATGTTAAGTTTGTGTGGTGCAACTTAGGCCTGTAAGTTAAATGATTGCTCAAGTCTGGCTGCTGGTATTGGTAGTTTGTTCTGAGCGAGGAAAAAAGGTATGTCGATGCAGGTTCGAATACATTTTGTTCTTGGGAGCGATAAGAGTAATGAAATACAATAGCATATCTTGAACTTGCAAGAGTGATAAGTCCAGATTTTAAAAATTTAATAAAAAAAATTAATACATTATTGGGGATCTTTCCTACCTGTCTACAGAAGATAATGGGTTCAAACCTAAGGAAGAGTGATCAACTTTATGAAACTTCTATGCTAGGCACATCGTTTCAACTAGTCAAATACAGGGTGAGATAAAAAAAACTGCAACAAAGTCAAAAGCCATAATTTTTAGGTTTTTTTTTACATTTTATTGAATGAAGGCAAAAAATGTCGGAAAATGTATCAAATTTTAGAATAAGTTTAGATTTGTTCGATTTGGTCATCCTTTGGCATGAATTATGGCCAATAAAACCGTTACACGCTGCCCGAATGTTGCTCTGCGGTATTTTGGCCCATTCCCGGCGAAGCGCTTGCTTGAGATGATCGAAACTTTGGTATTTTTTAGTACCAACCTGGTTTTCCAAAATACTCCAGACACAATAGTCCAACGAATTGATATCCGGGGATTTTGGCGGCCATTGTGCGTTGGAAATGAAGCGAGGAACCCAATTTTGTAACCATTCTTGGGTGGCGCGTGCTGAGTGCGATGGTGCTGAGTCCTGTTGGAATGTCCAAGGTATGCGGCCAGAATGTTTGCGTGCCCAGGGCTTTAACACACCCTCCAGAATATTTTCGCGATAATATTCGTCATTTATTTTGAAGCCACGGTCGATTAATACGAGCGGGGAGCGACCATCGGCTGTTATGCCATCCCAAACCATCACCATGGCCGGAGCTTGAGTTCTGGTGGCCAACCTAAGGTGCTCATTTTCAGCTGACCTCTTTGGCAAGTAAACACGATCATTTTGTTTATTTACAAACTGCTGGCCAACGAATGTTTTCTCATCGGAGACGGAGAAAACCTAATTCGGCAGTTCACCACTTTCGGCCAGGCGAAGCAATTCTTTAGCTCTTTTGAGCCTATTTTCTTCCTGTTGCGATGTAAGTTCTTGCACTTCTTGGAATTTAAATGACTTTACCTCGAGCTCAGTTTTCAATATTTGCCGAATGGAATATTGCGATATGTTGAGCTCACGAGCCATTTTTCGGCCACTGCGATGCGGGTTTCGATCAAGTCGCTTCTTTACTTTTCGAACCATTTCAGCTGATGTTGCTGTTTTCTTTCGTCCACTTTCTTGACGTCGAATTAAGAATTAAAAATTTTCAATATTAAAAGTCGACTATGTCTCGTAGATTTTTCAATGTCAAGAGTCGATTAATCGAAAGTCCTTCTAATTATCCTTGGTCACGTGTAAAACCGGGTTTTGCCTCATTTACAAAATTAGAAAAAACTGACTGCATAGGATATTCAATTTAATTGACTTGCAAAAATGCCTAACTATTTTGTTGCAAAATGTAGACTTAACACTTTTTCCACCTTAAGATGGCGCATGTATGCATGCCCCAATCTCTTGGCTACTTGGTTGAAATGTCTGTTTTAAAGTTTTTGATGAGTTGTTTGGCTGGTTGTCGGTTGGTTGGGCCAAACACAGCTTGCATTTTTTTTTGCCTGCCTGCCTGCCTGCTAGTCATCTGCCAGAAAGAAATCAGTGAAAATGCACTTTTACTTTTACCCAAATGCTGCTTTTCCCTTTGTGCGCTGTATCTTGTCACGCTGCAAGCCAAAAACACTGACGTTGGTTGCATGCATGCATTGGTGAAAAGCAAAAGTAAAATTATTGCTGTGGTTGTTTCTATTGTTTCATTTTCATTTTTTTTTTTTTTTGCAACAAATGCATAAAACACAAACTCTGAACATAAAACCATAATAGAAATTCTCCAAGTGAAATGAAAACGAAATTAGTCATGTTTAGTTTGAAGTGAAGTTTTTTGTAGTTGTTATTTTTCATTTCAGAAAAACCGAAAAAAATAATTACCCCATTTTATGTTTTATTGTGGTAAACCGGAGATTTGAGGGATTTTAAGGAAGGAACTCAAAAAAAAATCGGCTGATTAAAATGAAGTACAAACTTTATTTTCTCCAAAGATCTGAAAACTACTTTCAAATTTTGAAAGTTTTAAAGAATAAAAATTGGGTTTCAAATGTAACTTCTTAAAAAAAACAATATATGATGTTGAAAAAATCAGATGATCCTTAAATATCTAATAATTTAAATCTAAAAATGTGTTTTTTAATATAACCGATAAAATGATTAAAATTAAAAATTATGTTTTTTATTTTAAAAAAACATATTTCCACATATATTTAATAAAAAATCTAAAAAAAAAACAAAATTAATAAAATAAAAATAAAAATTAATAAAAACAAAATTAACATTGACATTGGTAAAAAATTATAAATAAATGATATTCAATATAAAAATGTAATAAAGTTAATACTTATTTGATATATTTAATTATTTTTCAACAAAAACTCAAACTAACAAATGTCTTCCTTCTCTTCTTCCCATTCCAGATACCGAAATTCCTATTATCAAACAATCAACAAGTCCGGGACCTCATCTACATAACCTGCCACCATCATCACATCATGTGCAACAGGCTGCACTCCAGCAGCAGCAACAACAGCAACACTCACACCCGCATCCACACCAACAGACAACACAACATCAACAGCAACAACAACAGTCGCCATTAACGCCACAACACCCGAATGGAAATCCAGCGGCGTTTGCAGGATCAGGACCTGTTCTCAATATTAAAACCGAGCAAAATGTTTTAACGTCACCGAATCAACACCAGCAGACCCATGGTGGGGGTGGTGGCGGCATTAATTTACAGCAACAACACAACAGCCTAACAGGACCCTCAAGCAACAATAGTCTACAGTCATTGAATATACCACACCGACCATTGTTGCACAATTTGCTGAGTGGCGGCTCACTGCACAGTACACATCACAGGAGTTATGGTGCAGGGACAACAGGTAAAGGAGACAATTTTTATTTTGAACAATAACTTCCTTCTTCCTACTCTCCTTTTCAAATGGGATACAAGAAATTAATGATGTGTGTTTTTCTTTTTTCAATTTCCCTTTAAAGGTTCATTTCCCCCCAGTCCGGCCGACAGTGGTGTATCGGATGTGGATAGCTCGAGCTCGGGAGGCCAACCCTGCAGCGATGAACTCAAGGCCCGTTTGGGTCTGCCACCCCACTGTTCGACGCATCCCTCTCATCTGGCTAACGGTACATTTCTGCATCCGAATCTATATCAGAATTCTCAAATCAGGAATATATGGAATCGTGGAAGTGAGTACAAGAAAAATCAATCAACTAAATTATATAGAATTACTATAATTGAAGAAAATCATTATAATTTCTAACAAACATTAATATCGGGCCGTTAACGTACAACGTAACGTACAAACAAATTTCGGGATTATGGGATTTCATCATACATGTTTGAACGAAATTCGATTTAGGGCTTTGAGAGGCCGTAATAACCACTTCGCTAACAACCTGGCTAGTGCGAAAAAAAAAATTCGTTGAAGGGTCACCTAGTGGACTCAGACGTTTCGACCTATACTATTTTTATCAAAATTTGACCTTGTTCTAGGATAGGATAGTGAGTAGTTTCCAATCTGGGTCCTAATTTTGAATATCATGCAATATTAACCACTTTAAGAAATATTTTCGGAATTGTATTACCTAACAGTAATAGGGGTTTTATACATCATCAATCAATTCAAATACAGACCCACTCTATTTCAGAGCACTTTGTATTTGTACCTATACAAAGCTCTATCGTGAACCCCCTATTAATTCACATTATAAATGTTTTTTGTTTGAATCGAAACCTATTAACAAATATTAAAATCTAATTTTAAAATCCGAGAGATGTGGTGGTGGGGGATGTTTGAAATAAAAACACATTTCGAAATAATTTCTATTTCTAAATAACTTAAACTTTGACTCAATTCAAAAACAAACAAATGTTTGTCACAATTATTTCTCCATTTGAAATTAAAACAATTATAATGGCTATAAATAGCAGAGGGAACAAACATACATGTATTTCTGGAATGTTTAATTCAAACACAAACACACACACACCACAGACACAGCAGCCATAAACTATAACTATCCATTGAAACAAGATTTAAATTGTAGGTATCAAAACGAAAATCTATTTATGTACCCATGTACCCATTTAGCATCTTTCTCAATTTTCCCCCTTCTAGTTGATTTTCTTCTTTTTTGCTATTCCTCATAATCATTAACATTTCTACAAACATCTGAATGTATGTATGTACATACGTATGTATGTTTGTTTAATGTATGTGCACTTTAAACGACGACTCTATTGCCGCTGCATCAACACTCAACGTTTTCTGCCACTGCTGTTTGTGTGCGCTTTTTTGTTTTCTTTTTTTTTTCAAATATAAACATACATATGTACGTTGCATTGTTGTTGTATGTACGTCGGATATTTATATGTATAAATGTATGAATCTGTGGTCATCGACACATTGCCTTTGCACAAATTCTGAAGGTCACAACCACATGCAACTCTCTTCATTTAATACACGAGCGCAACAAACGACGACGACAACGACGAAAACGGCAACGGCAATATGGCTCTCACTGTGTATATGAATTTTAGTTGCTGTTGTTGCTATTGTTGCTGAGTTAAACAACAACAGCAGCAGCAGCATATCAATACTGTTATGAATAAAACCACACAATGATAGAGTAAAAGTAAACCAGAGAGAAAGAGCATGAGAAAGAGTGCTACGTAGAAATGGTTGGTGAGATTGCAAGTCAATGCATTGCATTGTTGTTATACTGTTAATGGTTTTGTTGAGTGGGGGTTATGGGGGGGGAGACATGGTACTGGTAATCTCTCACACTCCGTATGTTGATGTTGAGTAAGGTTTTAGTAATAGACTGGTTGGTTAGTTGGTTGAACATGCTCCCATAAGATATAGGTACACACAACTGTGCAATAGACTTAACGTTGCCATGTGTGTATGGCTGGGAGCTTAAGTTTTTATTCCAGATTACTGTAGAGTTTGTTAATTATAACAACAACAACAATAGCCTCAATGCTCATAATATGGTTTACTCTCTTTGGATTGTTGTTACTCTGCTCCCCGTTTTTTACTTGCAAAAAGTGTAGTACTTCCCCCTGCTCCCCCTCCCCCTTTCCACCATTCCTTTGAATGCTTGTGCATTCTGGTTTAAGAGCAAAGAGGGTATTCCACAAACATGTTTGTGTGGAGCTTACGTCCTCATTATTATCGCTGCCTCGATTGTTGTTATTGTTATTGTTGTTGTGCACGAGAATTGCAAAAACACTTTTATTTTTATTGCAGTATATTTTGTAACATTCCTCGTTAATTTTGACGCCGGATGTAAACCAACAAAACAAGAAATCAACTTGCACACAAACACATGTTTGTATGTATATACGTATTTCGTGTGTGATACCTACACACAAATATGGCTGGGCATGTGAGGCAAAACAAACAGCAATTGGTTTTTTTTTTTTTGTAAGCCATTCCAGCCAGGCAGCCAGCAAGTCCGTCAGTCAGTCATTAAATGCATTGGATGTCGCCGCAACATTCGTCGTCGTTTGTTGTAAGTAGCAACATCAACAAAGGCAAGCAGCAACAGTCAGCGCCAATTGTTGTTCTACCTCTGGTTTGGTGTGAACAGAGAATGCATGTCATGCCTTTGCTTGTTTTTTCAAGTCGTTGATTGATATACTTAATGGTGTGAAAGAGGGCGGATTTTTTGGGGGAGAGGTGAGGAGTGGGTGGTCTAAAGTTCTACATAAAATTCTTGTAGCTATTAGCAAAAGAAATGTTTGTCTTGTGACAAACAAAAAAGGAAGTATTTGTCATTTAAGTTATTTGTTTGACAAACAAAGAACCACTTGATTGTGTCGAAAGCGAATTTTTGACATATTTTAAACAGAGGGACGTGAGGGAGGGTGAGAGTGTTTGCATGTTAATGCAAACAATTGGTTTTGTTCAGGAAATACATACATACTTATATCAATATTATTTATTATTGTTTTTTTAATTGGAAATTATTCTCGAAATTTCTCAAACTTAACCAAGTCATTAGTGTTTCATGCATGAGATCAAAGTTCATGTGCCAGATTCGTAAACGTCATTTTTGCAAAATTGAGATTTGGGTATACCGACGTAGGCAGAACTACGGTTTAAGAGGGTATGTTCCGAAAAGAAATACTATTTACAAGGGCTTTGGGGTCATAGCCGATTTCATGTACCAGAGACGGAGTTCAATATCTACATTTAAACCCGGAATCGTAGATAAATTCAGGATACGAAACAGCGAGCTCTCTGTTTTCTAGGTTTACATTCTCTGCTTTTAAGTAATCTGACTTTCTAGTTTCGATATCGATACCGTATGATAAATACATAGCTCATACGCCCAGAAAGCCTCCACAATATTTTACTGGTGTACTGCTGTTTTTATACCCTCCACCATTCTATGGCGGGTATTTTAAGTTTGTAACTCCTCGAAATACTGATGATATACCCTACAAATTATATATATATATTCTGGATCAGCATAATTGAAATTGAAGACTAAAATTTTGCACACGTGTGTATGCCGCCCATATTTGTTATTTTAATGCTTTTAGCAACATAATTCTCCGAAATTATTTCAAATTTCGTATTTTACTACACAGCCTACATATGCAGGCCCAGGTCTTCGTATAGCCTCAAAATAACGTATCTCCCAATATTCGGTATTTTTTTGACTTTATAGACATTATGGATCGAAATTGTTTCAAATTTCGTGTTTAAAGTTGGTAATGGATCCTACAACCGATGATTTTCCGTATTTTTTTTTAAATTTTCAAAATCTTTTCAAATGGTGGAGGGTGTTAAAAAATCGGCCTGACCGAACTTAGCTGCTTTTTTACTTTTTGAACTTTTTTCAAATCAAACTTACAAACTTTTTCAATCGAACATTCTCTATAACCGTTTTTCTACGGGAATTTCATATTTTTGATAGGCATTATCACATTTCTTCATTTTGTTTTTAAATATTCCTGACTTACTTCACTGTTTACTAATTTTTAATTTTAAATAAATGTCTCTATTTTTCCCCAGTGGCTGAAAACTACTACTTACCCTTGGCAGCAAATGGTGCAGGCGGTGGTGGTGGAGGAGGTGGTGGCGGCGTCATCAACTCATCCAACAACGGCCCAGTGGTTAATAACAGCGTAACCTGCAGCTCAACAGCGCCCAATGGCGCCTATGGTGCGCCGCCCTATTTTACAACTCCCTCTCCGCCTCGTGCCGCCGTCGGTTTGGCTTCACATCATTCCCTACATCCACATCAGCAACATGCTTTGCACTCGCACCAACAGCATTCCTCCGTCTCCAATCCCACAGTTGGTTCGACCAGCAACGGTGTCCTTACCTCCAACGGCGTTCTGTCACATCAACAAAGCGTCATACAACCGGCCACATCGAGTGTTAACTATGATCTCTCCTATATGCTGGAACTGGGTGGTTTTCAACAGCGTAAAGTGAAAAAGCCACGCAAGCCCAAAATCGAAATGGGTGTCAAGCGACGCAGTCGTGAGGGTTCCACCACCTATCTGTGGGAATTTTTACTCAAGCTTTTGCAGGATCGTGAGTACTGTCCGCGTTTCATTAAGTGGACTAATCGTGAGAAGGGTGTTTTCAAACTGGTCGATTCCAAGGCGGTGTCACGGCTCTGGGGCATGCATAAGAATAAACCGGATATGAATTATGAGACCATGGGTCGGGCACTGCGCTACTATTATCAAAGAGGCATACTGGCCAAAGTTGATGGTCAACGTTTGGTCTATCAATTTGTTGATGTTCCCAAGGATATTGTGGAAATCGATTGTAATGGTGTTTAAATGTATGCAGAGCAAAATCGCAACCATATTTATCCGAAGGAGAGAACATAAGGCAAAACATAGGCGGAAAAGCAACAGCAGCAGCAGCAACACAAAAATAAATAAATTTTTAACTGTTTTCGTAATTGGTTAACCTGTCTTTCGGGCCATATTTAGAGACAAGATTTTTGGATATTGCCTGCCCTCCCTCACATAACGATCCCCAAATTGGTAGGTGTCAAAAGATTGTTGGATATAAAAATTTTCAGTTTATATTTGTTTTGAGTTATTTTTGAAAGTATCACAAAATTAACGCTATTTAAGTTTTTTCATTTTTTATTAATTTTGTTCTTTTTAATGTAATTTATTGCAGATTTCCCCCAGAATAACAGTTATGGGTTCACATTTCCATGGCCTGGATGATGATGCATTTTCATTTGGAAAATATTTGCCCTCTCATATGCCATTGGTTGTGGAGTGAGATTATTTTCCAATATGCCAAGGATCCAAACGTATGCAACATGCCCACTGATGCTGATGGAAAGGTGTAAAGATCGCTCAAGGATCATTTGTTTTCAATTTTCACCAAAAAATATTAATGGAATCCTCAAAACAGTTACGGACCAAAACAAACAGGCAGCACACTCAGTCCCTCTGCAACATCAGAAAGGAGAGCAAACTTACTGATCGAACACACACACACATACAAGGACAGTAGCTTTCTAAGATCCAAAGTCGAATCGAAGCCTAGCTTAAGATTTTGTATGCCAATCAAAGAAAACTATTTTGAAGGACACCCCAAAGTCCTTACAATGAATGGTCTAGCAACAAATTACAAAAAAAAAACAAAAACAAACCCGTTATAACTTTTAAAAAGTAAAACCATGAAATTTTGTAATTTTTGTGAAATATGACACATTTGTTGTTTTGTTTTTCTCCCGCAAGCTGTGCTATGTTGGAAAACAAAAACCAAGAGGAGTCAGCCCTCCTCCTCTTTGGAACAACATCATTTGTAATATTAATTATCAGCAATGATACAATTGTAAATTAATTGATTTATATATACATCTATATATAAAATTAAAAAAAGGAAAAAATACACATAAGCTAAAACTAGTTTTGTAAGGGATATGTTGGATATAGTGTTGTAATTACAGTACAGTTTTTTATTATTATTATTACTATGAATTAATTGATATAATTGTTAATAATGTTTAAGATTTATTAATATTATTATTATTAATAGCATAAATATTCTATTTTAATTATAGTTGTTTAGCATAATTTTAAAGAATATGTATTTTATATTTCATGTTTTTGCATTATTTTTAATTGTATTATTATTATTATTTTTTTTTGTTTCATTGAGTGTAAAAAGCAAACATTAAATGTACGTTACAAAAAAAGAAACAAATGAAAATCAAATTGTATCATAATTTTTGTTTTTGTTGCTTATTTTTATTTAAAACACACACACACAAAAACCAATTATTAAAATGTTGAATTTTTGTATGTAACAGTAAATATTTAAATTTATGTCTTTTATTAATGAAAAAAACACACACAAGAAATAATTCAATTAAATTGAAATTTTAAAAATTGCAATAATTCTTTACAAATTTTAGCCCATAGTCCACAGAAAAAATTAAACTAACAATTAGAGGAATATTGCATTTGTGTTATTTAACAAATTAAGAATTGAAAAAAGAAATCAAAGACAAGTCTTCCAAGTAACATCCTCAAACATTTACACTTCCATAGACCAGAAACCTTTTGTTTTTTGTTTTAAATTCACATGACTTTTCAAGCCCCTAATGATCTCCACATATACTCATAGTTTACATAATAATGTGATAGATGAATCCAAATATTAATAGAAATTCTTAATATTAACTTAAACAATATGTGGTCAAAATGAGAAAAACACAACAGGGACAGGGAAACAAAAATACGATATTTTTAAATTTAAATTTTTCAAAATTTCTAATGTTTAGTTTAAAAAAAAAAAAACTTTTGTACTTAATTTTAGGCTGCGTTGATAAATAAGATATGCAGGCCAAGTTTATATTTAAATATTTTTTCATTTTAATTTCCTAATAATTTGACATAAAGCATATAAAAATATACGACAAATATATTGTGCTATCGGAAAATTGCGATAAAGGTTTCAATGTTAACGTCGGCTCACATTATTGTAAGCTCTTTGACATATATTTTCATATGTTTGACCATGGTAGAAGAACACAGGTAGACGCATCGACACAGCTGCTAAGACAATTAACTGTCAAATCAATTTTGAAATTGAAAATTTTAAATGAAAATTTATTCCAATTTGCAAAAATGGTTGAAAAATGCATATTATAACATCCTCTGATTGGTGTCGTATAACAAAACATATAAAAATCAACTTATTCTTGATAATACATTTCAAAAATTTTGACATATCAATGTTTCCAAGCGTTGATGCATCAACCTTCATTCTTTTACCATGTGTTTGACATCAAAATAATTATGAAAGGACGCTAGAACATGATAAAGTGGCTAAATGTAAACATGACCTTACAGATCAGAATTACGAAATGAAAGATAATTCGCTATCGTACACAATACTCAAGTGTTTTCAATTTTTTTTAAATATTATCAACATTTAAATCATTAAATGTATTAAAAAAGCCAGCCAACAAAACTTAATTCCTATCCCAGTTATTGTGATGCAATATTTTCAATATCTTATTTGTTAAATAACCAAATGAATTCTCCCCTTTTGTTTTTAAAAAAATGGCAATAAACCTAAACTAAATACCTAAAAACTACAAAAAAATTCTATATTTGTATTTTATTTATAAAATGCCAAGTTCAACTTTGCCGGAGCAAGAAATTCTCCAAATATACACAAATTACAACAAAACCGGAAAATAATATAAAATCCATTTTTGTGTTTCCCAAAAAAAAGAACAAAACAATATAAAATAAACCCACTGATGCTAGGTTTACACTCAAAGCCTTTAACATGATAAATACCTTATTGTGATCTATTTGATACATATTGTCAAACACATGGTAGAAGAATACAGCTAACCGTAACGACATCGTTCTTGGAACAATGAAATTTCAAACTGATTTTGGAATTGAAAATGTTGAATGAAAAATTATTGAAATTTGTAAAAATTTTTGAAAAAAGCATATTATAATAACATTCGATTTGCGTCGTATAAGAAAATATATAAAAATCTACTTATTTTTGACAAAACATTTGAAAAATTTTGACATATCATTGTTCCCAAACGTTGATACATCTAACTGTATTCTTTTACCATGCTCAAACAGTTAACATCAAATAAATCATGATAGCACAATTAATCGCAAGGGAGAGTGTAAATTTAGATATGGCCCAGATTGGTGTTTCCACAAGGTAGTTTTTTTTATTTAGGAACATACTGCAAAGCCCTCCAAGCATAGTTCTATAAAATTTGCCTTGTGTAAATACCAATAAAAATAATAAAAGTAAAAATAATTTTATCAACAATAGACTTGTGTTTGGAATTTTTGTACATTTTCTTTCGAAAATTCTATTAACCACTACTCTAACACTGCCCATAGCTTAACCACAAACAACAAAGAAAATAATTTTTGGACTTGATTTTTTTCGAATATATACAAACTGAAATTACCTCGGTTTTTCCATTGTTTCCTACATTTTTTTACATGTGTTTGTGTACACTTTGCAATAATATTTGTAAATTTTTAAAAAATAGTAAATTGTTTTTATTTAATATAACATAATATAATATATAATTAAAAGTTTTTGTACATTTGCCCCTTTGGCGACTGCCATGCAAACAGTGCGTTTGTCTGGAGTTACAAGGGAAAAGAGAAACAACTGCCCTACACTGCCTATAATTTACACTCGATTCAATATAAAACAAAAAACAACAACAACCTATACAACAATGTAAAGTGCAATCTGTTAAGAATTAATAAGTTTTGTTTTAATTTTTTTTTTTTCTCTTCGTTTTAAGTCTATATTTCTCTTATAAAGAAAATAAAAAATAAAATTTTTTTATTCAAAATTGAAACGTTTTTCGTTTACATTTTATTTGTGATTTGATCTGTTTTTTTTTTTTTGGTTATGTATTTCTTTATTTTGTTTTTCTTTTATTATTATTTTTTCATTTATATTATATTTAACAAATAATAATAAAAAAATGTTTATATATTTTTAATTGTGTAATACAAAAAAACAACAAACCTACTTTATATTATTTAAAAATAAAATTATTTTTATTTTACCAAATTTTCAATTATTTGTTTATTTTGTTATCATTTGCGAGCGGAGTTAGGAAGTGTTAAATTTGATTTATTTAGAATAAAACATTTCACCGACATTTACCATGGTACAATGAAAGAAAGGTAACCTCGTTTCAAATTAGCATTCCAGCTCTTCATTTTCTGTAACTTACCTTGTCAAACTTTAAAGTATAAAAAACAGTTCCCATCTTTGAGTTTGTGTGTATATAATGGATTTATGAATGTATAAATTTGAAAGAATTTTAAACATATGGTTACCTGACTTTACCTTCTTAATACTACCATGGTATTTATTAACTTAGAGCTCTTCACCGTACGGAAACGCGACTTTAGTCTTTTGAACAGTTAGTGGAAGATCTTAAAGTACGTTTACATCCGTGCTAACTATTTACCAATCACAAGAAATTTAAATAAACATAAGTTAAATTTATTACGATCGGCTTATCGCTGTTAACCCATCAAAGATTTTTGAATGAGAATCATTGCCCAGGCGGATCTGGTATTGTGTTTGATGATAGCTGGATGGGAGGGATTTTTAATATGACCTTTTAACTATATCATTAAAATGTTTCATTAAAAGTTTAAAGTCTGACTTATAGCGCGTTTACATACAAAAGATCTGCCCGGAAATTGACTCCTTACAGTAAATTTAATGTTGTTTTCTATAGTCAAATCTATGGCCAAAATATGAGATACATCTTCCAAGCCAGCAGGCTATCAATTTTAATATCAATATGCATTATTGTGCTTGAAATAATAGAACGAAACATAATCAATAACATTCCGTCAGGTTTTTAAAACACTTTTACATTTTTGCACATTTCTTCGATATCATCAAGTGAAAAATCGGTTATCGTAGTAAAAACTTTTATATTCTTGCAGTTCTGGAAAAGGCAACTTGTTAATACGCCATGAGAGTATCAATCGTGATAGAGGAATACAGGTAGATGCATCAACGCTGGGGAAAATTGATGTCATTCATTATAATATGCGTTTTTCAATAATTTTTACAAATTTGAATAATTTTTCACTCAAAATTTTCAATTCCAAAATTGGTTTGACAGTTCATCGTCCCATCACATGTGTCGATGCGTCTACCTCATGGTAGAAGAATATAGGTAGACGCGAGGACACAGCTGCTGGGACAATGAACTGTCAAACCAATTTTGTAATTGAAAATGTTGAATGAAAAATTATTTAAATTTGTACAAATTCTTGAAAAAATGCATATCATAACATCCTCCGATTGGCGTCGTATAAGACATATCAATGTTCCCAAGCGTTGATGCATCTACATGTATTCGTCTACCATTGTCTACCTGTATGCTTATAGTACGTTTACACAACAACATTTTATCCGGAATAATATACTTGAAAGTTATTGTGATTGGTCACTTTTCTCCGAGCTAGATTCATCATCATATCTGGACACTGATATATATGTGAAAAATATATTGGAAAACTAAATAGATTTTGTATTCAATTCCTTTTAGAAGTTGTTAAAAATTTATTTTTTTTTAACAATTTTATGAAATTTTTATGGTGAGTA